ATTAGGAAGGAAACTTTTATTTCCCTGTACACCCTCTTGCAACTTTTGAACTTTTATTATGTACTTGTATTAATTATTCAACAATATTTTAAGAAGCTAAAAACTAAGTCACTGAAATGCGTTGAGCAGAAACATAGGCATGTTTAACAGAAACTGGAGGGAAAGAATTAGAAGCACCAGAAATTCCTCTCACCAGAGTCAGACTCTGAAGGTGAGTCTGTAAATGGCATCCATCAGAGGATCAAGGAGGGAAATGCTGGAACTAGGTATTTGGTATAAAGCTTGTAGTCTTAAAAATTAATTTTCCTTAGTGTTCAGAGAGGATTGAGGAAGTTTCGAATTAACACTCAGCTATGTTTAACGCATGCGGTTATCTAAACAGCAAGAACCACTTATAATTCTTTGGAAAGATAAGGCTAGCACAATGAAACAATTAGAGAACAATGCAAAGCAGTGGTAATTCTAAGAAACGATGGGTCTGTGGCGCTGGAATAATTCAGGGCTGTTTGTGGGAAGATTGAAATTCAGCTAGTAGGATTTTAAGAAGGCATTTGAGGTGGGGATAAAAAACATGAGCAGAGGGCTGGAGAAAAGATTTATCTTGGCTCTTAAGGGGAATATGAAAAAAAGGTTATGAGATATGCTAATATATTAAAGAATTTAAAAATACTCTTTCGACTCATTCAAGTAACCTATATTCTAAAATAACGCAATAAACTCAGAGAGAACATAGAGTATACAAAAAATGACAATTAAAATTACAGCTACTTAAATTAAAAATATAAATAAATAAACTTAGACGACTGTCTAAAGAGGTGCTGCAACATAATACATATGAAAATTGTTTCTGGAATCAGACCAAGGCTCAGGCCCTGGCTCCATCCTTTACTGCCATTTTGATCTTGGCAGTCTACTTAAATGTTTTGATCCTTGGTTTTGTCAACTGTAAAACGGAAGTAATAATATTTACCTTATAAAGGCTGTTGAGATGATTAGTAAAACAAATACATGTAAAAATGCACTAGTGTTTAGCGTACAGTGGATCCTCCATAATTGTTGGCAGCAGAGTGTAGTAGACTCTAGAATCAAACTTTAAGTTCAGTTGCTGGCTCTAAAACTTACTAATTTTGAAAGCTTGGGCTAGCTAACAATTTACCTAACCACTCTGCTTTATTCCTTCTCTGGAAAAAGGGGCTGGTAACAGTGACCTACTCTATTGGTTTTCTATTGATACATATAGCAAATTAACACCAATTTACAAGTTTAAAGCAATACAAATTTATTAGCTCACAGTTCTGTAGGTCAAAAGCCCAGGTGGGTTTGGCTGGGTTCTCTGTGTTGGGTCTCACAGGACTGAAATCAAATTTTTAATTTTGATTTAAGGTTTAATATCCAAAGATATTAAATAAATTTATGTTTTGAAGATGAAAAACAAAGCATAAAAATACAATGTGATAAAAAAATTAATAGTAATAGTGTAATTTGATACAATAATCTGATTCTTCCTGTATACATTTCATTTTAAGATACCATTCAATAATTACAGAGATAATAAGATATGCTGCCTTTAGTGTTAATGCTGGATAAATTAAAAGGAATGTTAAACATTATAAAGATAATTTAATGCGGTGGGGGAGGAGTGGAGATAATTAGCTATTGAGGAACATTCTTTTTGGATTCTGTATATGATTATTAGATCTTCTCATTCATCATCACTATTATCATCATGGTGTGCCTGGTACTGTGCTAAGCCCTTTTCCAGCCTACTACTATGAGTTCAGTGCTATGACTAACTCCATTTTATGGATGTAATTACTTAGCAATTAGCTGATTTGCCACTTGCCATTTATATTGGTAGAGAAAGAATTCCAATTCATATATGTCCTATCCCATAATCCAAACTCATAACCAGTAAGAATAATTCTGGAAGACAAATAAACTTTCCACAATGCCTAGTTTAGCTTGTTTTGCTGAAACTTTTTTTCTACTTTAAGGCAACATGTCCTAAGGTTTTTTATTTTTTTATCTTATAGCACTAAATCTACAACATGCTAAAAGTTATTTTGAGAAAAAAATCTTCTCATACCAAAAATAAATAAATAAATAAAAGTTTGCAAAATGATGGAATAAACACTGTTGGAAAACTTTCTTAAGCACACTATCTTCGAAGTTTTTAATATTCATCATGCATGTCCAAGAGGCTGCTCTAATATGAAATATTTTCCAAAATTATTTGACTGTGGAATTCTTTTTTCTTTTCTTTTTAGGAACCTATTAACATCTTGGGGAAAAGTAGGCCTGGAAAACAATTCGGGATAAGCTGTCTTCAAGTGATGTATAGATTCCTTTTTGGCAATTTAGACACATATTTGGAGAAGCTATAAAACGGTAGGCTCAATCATACATGATTAGTAAAGGCTCCTTAGCACTTTATATGAGGTAGAAGATTCATAAAGGAGTGTTGTCCTTTCTAACTTTTTAAAAAGATCTATTTCTTGTGGTCTTTTAACATGTCTTATATTCCACTTCTGCAGAACTATATATGGGTTTAGTAAGAGTGAAATGAGTCCTATAAATATAAATACAGTGAAGTACCTGGAACCCTCAGAAGGAAAGGCTTATTGGTAGATGATCATTATCAATAAGGGGTAAAAAAAAAAAAAATGTAATTGTGCACAATGAGCTATGGATTCAAGACCATTTATCAAATTTAGATTGGAAAATGGGATTTAAGAATGTAGAGGCATCTAACATGCAATGTCTTTCAAAATGTATCTACCAGGTAATGCAGAATGCCATTTACTGTCACCTCTCCAGGTATTTGGGCATAGAATATGCATTTTAATGTAGTATTATGCCCTCTGGAGTTGTGAAAAAATAAGTATTCTTTAAATTAAAATAGAAAGATAAATTGTTAGTAACATACATTGCTGTAAAAAAAAAAAAATTCCTAACATGCTTATTACACAGCGGCTGCAACAATGGGCTCAAGCATAGTAACAATTGTGAGGATTGCACATTTTGAGGTTTAGTACTTATCCTTTAGAAATAATACCTTATAACTAAAGATAGACATTTCATTTCAAAATATTAAAAAGGTATTTTATGATGAACATGTCACAATATAACTGAAAGCATACTTCCAAAATTCAGTAATAATGATGTACGAGAAAATGGGAATTTGTTTTTTGGAAGCTACTCTGCTACAACTCTGAACAGTGCTGTCTTATTCTAACATCCAGGGCTTTTAGCATAAAAATAGACAGTAAAATTATGATTCTTTCTTTCCTTTGCAAAGTAATTTTTTTTTAACCCTCCAACCCCACCTGGGATCCGAACAAATTCTGTTCTGAAAGTTTGTTGTTTTCTTTTTCTTTTTTTGCCAGTGATATAATGCCTTAGCTCCTGGCTAGGAGTATGTAGTATTAACTTTTCCATCTCCACTTGCATCCTTCATCTCACTTCAAATTCCAGAAAAGGAAGGTAGAAATTCAAGTATAAAGGGCTCAAGGCAGCAAACAGAGGTGAATTTGCATGACCATTTGATCACTGTTATCTTTTCCTTAGTAAATTCTCCATTCACCTACTTGCCTTCAAGACTGTTTCCTCAGGGTCTCTTCTGTTTCTGTCTGTCTTACCACCTCCCTCTCTAGGAGAAATTTAAAAAGAAAAAAAGAGCCGTGTTCCATATTGGCGCCTGCAACTGCAGGAACAGAGTTGAATCCACGTACAGTAAGCAATCGTTCTAACCAAAAAACAGGAGAAAACATTATTGTAAGCCATAGGCTGTATTTTTGGTTCAACCGCTTTCACTGCAAACAACTCTAATACCGGTTCCTTTATTGTTTTTGATGGGTAGCAAGTAAATTTGATCCCCCTTAGTGAGCTTTAAGAATCTGACCTGGCCTTCTATTTTCTTGCACCCTTCCCAAATTAGCCCCACAATTTTTCATCTGAAACACTTGTCGGCTTAACCGGTGTCTTTTACTGGCTTGCCATCAGCCTTCGCCCTTTTGCCCCTGTGAAGAAATGCGCCCTCCCCAGCCCAAGAACTAACTAAAGTGCAGACTGAACTGCAGAGTAGCCCTGTCTTTACTGGTTAGAGTCTGGGTGCTGACTAGGTTGCATTTCCTAAGATATCCAGGACAGTTCACTTTGCAGGGCTCTGTCTCTCAAGCTTCAGCCTTCGTGCCCCAAGAACCACTTTTCAAAATCTCTTAACTTCCTTTTGCTAGCTATATACTGAGACGGAACTTCAGGGGAATCCTTAACGTGGTTAATTATAAAGTCACTGCTGAAAACCAAGAGAATCTCTTATACCAAGTGTGCCCCCTTCCCTTAACCCTAGAGTCGCCAGCCTGTGTGCAGACGGTATAGGCAATGTAAGAACTTCAGAAACATTGGCAGGTGCCAGGGTGTGGCGGTGGTTGTCTCCCTTTTCTCTTCCAGCAGAAGGAGCCAGCTTTGAGAGAGAGAGAGAAAACAAGAATGGGGGGGAGGCGAGAGGGGGGATAAGAGGGAGGGCGGCGGGGCACACGGGGAGCGGGGAGCGCGCCTGCGAGGCTCGAGCTCGCATGCACGCCGCATCTGTTTGTACACAGTGCGGTCCCCGCCGCCTGCTCGTTCCCCGCCTGCTCACGCTTCATTGTTCTCCAAGTCAGAAGCCCCGCAGCCGTGGCGGCGAGAGCAGCGCAAGCCAGCGCTCCCGCCGCCAGTCAGTCCGTCCGCCCGCGCGGGTGACCCAGAGCCACCGCGGGAGCCCGCGCCCCGCCCCGCCCGCCTCGCTTCGGCCGGGACCCACCCGCAGCAGAGGGCTGAGTGGGCCGGCGGTTCCAGGAACCTCGCCCTCCTCCGTGCGCCCGAGCGCCGGCGCGCAGGCAAAGAGGAGGAAAGATTGGCCGCCACTCTTTCCAGCCCTCTCAAAGAATTTAAGGAAGCGCTGCAGGAAGAAGACATCTGGAATTCTCTGGCAGGGGCGGGTCTGCCACTGCCCCGCGGTGCCATCTCGGCGACAGTGCCCTCCGCGACGACCCCTGCCTTGCTGGGGTCACGTTCGGGAGACAGGATCATGACTCGCTCGGTGGTCGCCTGGCTCTTGGTCGGGCTCAGCCTCTGTGCCCCCCAGTTCTGCAAAGGTGAGGCGGCGGGGCTCGGGCTGCTGAGTACGAAGCGGGCGAGTGAGGTTCCCTGGGAAACGCTGCGCTGGGGCCCGCGGCCGTCCCCGGGGCGCGCCGGGAGTAGCGAGCGCCGCGGGCGGTGCGGAGAAGGAGGCGCGCCCTGGGGACCCCGGGAAAGTGCTCTAAAAGTCAGCGGAGTGCGCCAAGCTGAGCAGGGCGGAGGGTGAGAGGTACCGGGTGAGACTGAGAAAAGAGGCGGACGGTGGATAGGCGGGAGGGGACGGCCCTCTCGGAACCAGCTACTCCGCTGCTCTCTCAGCCATCGGGTCACCGCTTGAACCCTCACTGAGCAATGCAGGCGATGCCCACCGCGGGCGCCAGGCAGGGGTTGGCCGGGGGGGGGCAAGCCAGGAATCGAGTGCGCCCGCGATGTCATCTGGTAGATGCGGACCGAGGCTGGAGAGCCGCAGGGCCGTCCGCCCCCAAGCGCGGTTCTTCGCGTGGGGTTGAAGTTGAGTTCCTCAACTGGGGCTAAGAGTTTTGGCCGCGGGTAAAGTGGAACTGGTCTAGCAGTTCGCCTTTCTCCCTCCTCCACATCGAGGGCTCTCAGCAACGACCACACAATAATCTAAGGATCCCCCGTGGGCCTCGTGCTTTGCTCTGCACTCCCTCTGGTTACGAGCGCAACTCTTGCTGATAGTGCCGAGCATAACAACCTTAGCCCGGCCCTGGAAGGGAAAAGTTGTAAGAGCTGGTCTGATCGGGCTTTCCATGACTTGCATGAAATACATAATCTAATCTTAAATAAATAAATACAGGACTTCGACGGGTCTTTTGCTGAGTTGTATAGGTGACGACTTTCAGGTCCTCTGCAAGGTGTGACTTGTCAATGCAAGCCTTGGTCTGAGCCCGGCTCTTAGGACAAGCCTGGGCCGAAGTGGCGTCGGGGAAGGCCAGGGGAGCAGCGGGGACTCTGACAAGGCCAGGAGATCTGGAGCTGCGCGCCTCCTGCGCTCACTGATGCGGGCGGCCCCTTCTGAGGGTTCCAAGGGTAATAAAACCCTCCGCAGGCTGTTTCAAGTGGAGAGCTGAGTGTACTACAAGGTTTAAAATGCTGTGCCTTTAAAAACGGTACTTGGATTAAAAAATGCGTTAAGTGGAATCCCCTTGAGATTAGACATTGCATAAATATTCTACGCCATGCATCCATGCACCTATCCATCTATTTGTCTTAGAGGAGAATTGTGGACTCTTGGGCCACTGTTCACCCCAGGAGTCGAAAAGTCGGGGGCTGCTGGCTTGATAACCTGGATGTCCTCTCAACAGAGCTCCATGGCCGCGCATTTCTTCGGCTTCCCTCCCTCTCCTAGAATGTGCCTATTTTCCCCAGTGTGTAGGCGTGTGGGTAGGTGTGTGCTTCGGCTGCGTTTACAAAGTGTCCTTCCAGTTATCAGGGAGACGCAGCCACTCCACTGAAGGTTAAGGAATGGTAATGGCTGTGTAGTTGCTGGCATGAGTTCTCCAGCGATATGAAAAAGACCGTGCTCCCATCACGATATTTTTCCTTTATCTTATCTCCTGTCTAGATTCCTTCTCGACTTTGATCTCTTAGTAGAAAGGGAAGAGGGAGACGGCAGGCACTCCCCTCTCCTCCTCCGTTACTCGCCTCTGTCCCCCCCCCCACGAAAACACACACACTCAACCCACTCATACGCACCTACATCGTGCCACCGCCGCTATCATCTGCTCCCGCGCGGAGGTGGAGGGCGGCGGGGTGGGGAAGAAAGTGCGTCTAGCATCTCTGGTTGCGCTTACCTCGCTGGGTCTGGTTGCAGGAGCCTAGGGGCACGAAGAGTGCCGGCTCTCCGCAATCAGGGGCTTGGCCTCCAATAGATACCTTGCCAACGGCACTGACTACTCTGTCTGACAATCCAAGGATGGAGATACTGTTCAGGCTTTCCATTCCATTCCTGCTGGACGATGCTCCAGCAGCTGTGTACTGCATATTCTTTAGTAGATTTCTCCCTTTTCAGCCAGCCTGTGGGGGGAAAGAAGGCTTTAGGAAAGAAACGGACCATTCTCCATTAGCTCTTTTTGTTAAATTTACACCTCTCTAATTTATTCTCCTTCAGCCCTCCAGAAGACAGAGTGCAGCCTGCGTGAAAGCTGCAATTAAACTTTGAGCAAACTTACTGAAGCCAGTGTTAACACTGACAAGTTTCTTTGCCCCCACCCCCGCCGAAAAGGCATCATCTAATATGTCCTTTTAGAAATTGGTATTTTCCCAGTATGTGGGTTGCAGTTTACCTGCATTAATGTGTGGGATTTGATCAGGATATGTAACTCCTTTTAGTAGTCGTTTTTATTTTAAAATTAAACCAATGGATCAGTCAGATTGAATATTTTATTAACTCTTAAATTATTCATCGTTATGGGTTGCTCTAAAAAATCCAATAACATGAATACAGTTGCAGCAAGCACGTGACGTCTTATGCAATCTGTTCCTGTGTCTGCAGTTTGTGCCTGAAGTCTTTAAGCAAATGGCACTGTCTAAAAATGGCTAGACATGTCCTAAATACTATGAATCATTGGCATTTGCATTTCCTTTTTTTAAGTCAGTGGCGATTTTTTAGTTACTTTTACATGAGAATAAATTAGTACCTGAACACTCTCACTCCAGATAACACTATACTTCTTTGATTGCTATAGCAATATTTATGTTCAAGTAACGAGCTTTTCATGTTACTTATTATTATACATTAGTGTCTACGTTGCCAAATTTACATGAGCAATAATTTTATACTTAAAAATAAGTGCCAACTTCAGATTCCAGGTGAAACATTTAAAAAATAATTGTAAATATTGAATTAAAAATAATAATTAAGCAAAGATAAGGTATTGTTCTGTGACAATTTGATGCTAATGCAGAAGCTTGGTCATGTCATAGCACTGCCATGATGTAACACCATTTTTTTCCTCTGGTCCTGAAACAGGTTTTCAAAATTATTCCTAAAATGTTTCCTTGGAATTGAAATGTAATTTGGTTTAAATACATATGGTTTTTGGAAAACATTTTTAATAGTAAAAAATAGTGGTAAAAATTAAAATGGTATGTTTTTCAGTCTTTGGTCTTGAAGTTGTGAAGATCTCCAAATCCGGGAAATATATTGCATTGCTGAAGTATTCTCTAAATTAAAACTCTGTTGTATTTTTCTCAAATATATTGATAGCAATGTTGGTATTAAATATGTACTAAGGATCTAGGATATTTTTGATAAATATATTAACAAAGCCTGTGTTTTCACTAGGTATATATATTTCCATCATAAAATTATAGGAACATAAAGTAAAGTGATGAAATATACATGACTAAAATAAAATAGCATGTGACTCAATACCATTACAAAATATGAGTTTGACAGTTTTTCAGGAGTCTAGATAGGTAGTCCAAAGTCTTTATTTCACTGATGTTAATTAAGATGAAATTTTTAATTAGAGGCAGTTTATTTTAAAAACTTTTCATCTTCTGAAAGCTTTTGAATAATGAGACGGGCTGTATATGTTATCATTTGTGTACAATTTTAAAAACTTCCCTTATCTGAGAGTTTTCTAAAGCCTAAGAAAGTAATTCTGATACTTGTTTACTGAACACACTTGCAGGTGCAATAGCTTTGAGTATGATTTATGATGTAGTAGGTTCACTGCATCTGTGCCAAAAAAAACAAAAACAACAACAAAAGAAACAAACAAACAAACAAAAAAACAATGCAGGCTTCAGAACTCAGTTCAAGCAGTAGCAAATCAGAACTAGTAGGTAATGAGAAAAAAATGATAGTAAATTTTGCAAATATTTAATTAGTGTAATGCCTTCTATTATAGCTAATCCATTTACTCTCTATATAAAACCAAATCCATTGTGATTCTGACTCATAGCAACCCTAGAGGACAGAGGAGAACTGCTCCTTAGGGTTGCCAGGTAGTGGCTGGGGGATTCAAACTGCTGACCTTCTGGTTAGCGACCGAGCTCTTAACCACTGCTCCACCAGGGCTCTACTCTCTATATATTTGGGTTTATTTCCTAAGTAATCTGAAAACTGGTGTCAGTGTGGAAAAAAAGAAAAGAAAACCAAATAAAAGACAAACCATTCATATTATTCAGTTCTCATTTGTGTTTTAAGGAAGATATCTAGTATGTTTGTTATCATAGCCCACATAATGATTTTGGTCAATCAAAGCAAACCTGTTTATAGGGAAAGAGTCAAATGGCTGCCATGTGAAGTGATTATTAAATTTTTCCCATGGTTTCCTAAGTGATATGCCAGACATTAAGCACTGTAATACTTAAACTGAGTGACTTACCACATAATTGTCATGGAAAATACCTCTTAAAGGTCTTTGATTTGAGAGAATTGTGGAAAGAAGTAGGCTGGAGTCAGCTGTGCCCTACCAGCAGGTGTCAGGATAATCAACAGAGCTCACTTAAAGGAAAGATGGAAAAAATACAGGACATGAACTAGTAAATGCAAGTCTTCAAAACAAGTAACTTTATAATCTAGATGAAACATATTATTTGTTAGCTTTCAGTGCTTCCCTGAGACAGAGATGGTGAGTTTTAAGGACCTACTCTTTGTACCAAAGGATTTTAAATTGGAAGCATAGTTGCTTTAACTGCCACAGACAAACGCACGTCTGTGTGGAATCTTTAGTTTTTAGAAGTCTCCTGAGTATCTTCCGGTGGAAATGCCCATAGAGCTATGAAGTGCTCATAGAAAAACAATTAATAAAGATTTTTAGCAGACTTTGTATGTTTACTGTTCATACCAACTATAGATTTTATAAACATGAATCCTAATATACTTATTTATATGCATATAAACATTCGACTATATATTGTACGCATCTATCACACTATAAAAAAGTATGTATGCGTATTTTTTTATCCATCAAGATGATAAAATATACATTTCCTAGAGCTCACAGGTCTCTTAAGAACATGCTAAAACAAATCCGGTGGTCAG